ATATATATATATATATATATATATATATATATATATATATATATATATTATTTTAAGTTAAAACTTCTCAGGCAACTAATTGTTGACTGATCCTATAAATTGATAAAGACTTCTTCTATGTATTAATAACCAAAATATGAACATGTAGCAATAAAATCATCCTGCCTTGGTACCGGGGCAACTTAGCTAATAGCGCAAGATGAAAAGACCATATAAAATATGTATCTTGATTAGCAGTTCCAGAGAGTTTCCGCAAGAGGTCTCCACAGCCCTCTTGCTGATTCTTAATTATAGGCCAATTTTACTTGTCCGCCTATATGCTTTATTTCAATTATCTTATGAGTGAAAATTGCGTTTCTTACTAAAAATAGCATATAATACACTTGCAAGAAATTTTATTCTAGTTAGCAATACATCACTTAATTTATTTACTCATCACGGAGTGTATTAATATAAAATTTCGAGACATTATTGCCAAGTCAGGTTTTTTCTATTTGTTAACTGTAATATTATTCTGATTTTAATGAAACTCAGGGAAAAAAATGATGTTCTAAAAAGACCATTTCACGATTTTGTACTCACTATTGCTCTCAAGATAAATGTTAAAAAAAAGCACATGAGCAATATATCCCTGGGGTCATATAACCCCGGTCTTCCCTGCTATTTTTCTGTGTACACTTTACTCCGAAATTCAGCACAGAATTTGCAATTTTTTGTACGAGGATATACTCGTGAAATTTCACGAACGAAAACAACTATTTTTGTTAGTCTGGCGGGGATGTCGAGGAGCGTGACGGTGGCGGTGGCCTACATCATGAGCACCACCAATCTCTCCTGGAAGGAGGCGCTCAAAGTCGTCAGGGTGGGTCGTTCTATCGCGAACCCGAACGTCGGTTTTCAACAACAGCTCAAAGACTTCGAGTCCAGCCGCTTACAGGAGGTACGATAAAATCGATACGAGCTTTCCTGCGCGACGAATGTGAACTTTGCATATCGTATTTTCACGTAGGAGCGCCGCAGATTGAAAGAACGATTCCCCAGCCTCGCCCTGTCGGAGGCCGACGCCGAGACATGCCAGTCCACCCTGAGGAATTACGAGACGCTTGCATTGGCGAAGGAGGTGTGCGAAGGCAAATGCGCGATGGGACGCACCTGTCCGACCGGTCTTTGCCGACAGGCTTCCAAGAGGTAAAAATCGCTTTTACAGAGTCGAATTTCTACGACGTCTAATCGCGTCGTGATCAAATTACGACGAAACACGAAAGATCTACATTAGTTGTTGCGAACGCGATCGCAGGAGTCCGAGAAGGAAGTCGTCTACCAGTAGCCTCGGAAGCGCGTCGTCCGGTAGAACACCCCCGCAAACACCCAGACTACTACCGTCCGCGCCACCCTCACCAGCCTTGCACAGATCGGCGAGCGTGGTGTCGGCGACGTCGAGGCCGAGAAGCGGGCCCGCGGGCTTACATTCTTACACCGGCGGGTCCGCTCCACCTTCCAGGTGAGTCAGTTTCCCGATGAAATCTTACTTTTCTTGAAAGAGTTTTCCTTTTTGAGTCGAAATTCTGATCCTACTTTCGACCTCAATATTTCCATTCAACATTTACTTGGAACATTTTCTGAAGGCTGTCTCTTTTGATTCCTTTTAACCTACCAACTTTGCCGAAAGAAGTTTTCTTTGGAATCTGCAAGTTTGTGTTCTTTGTACACAAAGAAATGCACACTGCACTCAAGTAAATGTTATTAGTAAATGTTATTAGTTTCAAGTATTTTATAAGTTTATACATCCGTGAGTTTGAGTTTACCACAAATATTAAATTTACTCAAAATACGTATTGAATCCTACACTAAGTTTAACATTTCAATCAGGAATATTAAATTAAAACAGAAGTTCGATTTTACTTGTTACAAAAAGTCGAGCTAACTTTTTCTTAGATAGAATTTTATAATAAAGATAACAAATTTTTTTAGTACATGATAATGAGCTCTTCTAAGATTCGTGACGATATTTAAAAGAAGGAAAGTAAACTGGTTAAGTAATCGTTTTTCTTAGCAATGGGATAATATTTTTCTGCGTATGCTATTTCAAGATGCTGAGTAGATTTTATCAACATATGCTGGTCTTTCAGAATATACAGCTGTTAGAAAGTCCAGGCCGAAAGTAGAGCCGAAATTTGGACTCGCAAAGTCGATTCAATTAAAGTTGCTTGACTCTCAGATAATGTCAATTGCTCCAAATGATTTTACTCGAGGCATTGGCGCTCACACTGTGACACGAAGTTTGAAATGGGAAAATTCAGATCTACCAATGATCAATCGATGATTGCAGAGCCGTGTCGAGGGTGGACCTCTCGGCGGCGGTCGCCTGCAGCAGCAGCAACGCCAACCTTTCCGCCGTGGGCAGGTCGAGTGCGTTCTCCAGCAGCAACTGGCGACTGACAGCCGGTTCCGCGCCGAACACGCCAAGACCAACGCCGCCGGTCTCTCCGCAACGTTGGCCGCGACGGCTCTCGAACCGACAGACGCCACAACTGCCGTCTGTACCGCCGGAGTCGCATCCCCCGATGACGTAGCATCGCGAGAGGCTCGGTTCGCTGTCGAGTTTGGTGGAATAACGGAACGGAAGGAGATCGTAGTTCGCCACGGGATCTTCCTGCCGCCGTTACTGCGCTTTCTTATCGCGGCGGAATGAGTCACAAGTACTCGTCGTTACATTTGTCATTGCGTTATCGGATGCGGTCACTCGGACAGACCCTCGTCCGACATGGAGGAGGAAAGGAGAAAGCGAGAGAGAGAGAGAGAGAGAGAGAGAGAGA